AGCAGCTGATAGAGGATGGCAAGTGGCCCATTCATTGTGTTATCATTTTATACACTCTGTCCATAAAACCCCCAGGAGAAGGATGGACTGTCTGTCCATGAGAAATAATCCACTGGCTGAGCTTTATTGGAACAGCGATGGAATTTTAAATACCTTGGAAAAGCCAAAGCGTGGCTGCTGACCTGAATGGAGCCGCGTGTTCCAAGCTCCACGTTCAGGCTCGGAATGAGAGGAATTAATGCAATTAAAGCAGTGCCTTGATTAGGAACTGGAAACAAGGGTTTAGTTGGAAAAACAAGAGCTCCTAAATTTTCAAATAGTGAAGGACTGGTGTACACACAGTGTGGGGAATGTGTTATCAGAACAGCAGGAAAATGTCCAGTATAATAAACCACAGGAATATTCCACAGTTCACCTGGCTCTGGTGTTCCCAGGACTGCTCAACTCCCAGAATTTTCCTGCCCTGGCCAACAGGAGGAAAAAATATTTAATTCAGTGTCAGCAAAGGGCAAAATAAGGTCAAAATTTCCAAAGTCAGCAGTGAAGGAAAATTTAAAGCGCAGTCCAAGGGATAAGGACACAAGTGGGGTATGAGGTGATCCTGGCACTGCTAAACAAAGTCTTGCTGGAGAGAAGAGCCTGAGAAACGGGAAACCCCTCCAAAATTCACTGTTACATGGGGAGGACAGAGGAACTTTGGGGAATTTGGGGGTTCACAGAAGCTGATATTTTAAAGGAAAGGGAGAAAGAGCAGCAGAAGTTGAAAAAGGGAGAGCCAAGTGATGCAATCAAACAAATTGTGGAAGTAACGAATAATCCAGAATAAACCCCAGAGTCCACTGCTGGACTTTGATCTCTTAAACACCTTTGCTAAAGGGTGGCTTTGCCAAAAATTATTGGTGTGAGAGATGGGGTTGGGAGAAAATCTGAATAACTGCAGCATGGAAATCTCCATTAACACAGGATTTAATCAGGTTTTGTTGAAGAGCTGAATAATTCCAACGTGTGAATGTCCATGAAAACAGGATTTAATCAGGTTTTGTTGAAGAGCTGGATAACTCCAATGTGGGAATGTCCATTAAAACTGGATTTAGGGAGGTGTTTGTTGAGGGGCAAAGCTGCCCAACCTTCCTCCCTAAAGCACCATCTGTGGTTGGGATCAGCTCCAGGATGGGCAGAGCAGGTGGGACATGAAGCACCACCACCAGGGCACCTCCCTGCTGCTCACTTTGGGTTCTTTGTTAAAATTCAAATGCCTTTTTTTACCCCCAGTGTGAAATTTTCACTCCCTTCAAGAAATTCCCAAAGAAAACATGGCTTTTTCCTTAAATATTTCCCTAAAATGTTATTTATGACTTCCTAATGACCTTTAGCTGACCCTAAGAAGTCATTTCACAGGTGGAAAATTGGCTCCAAAAATGGAGTTATTGAAACAGAGTCAGAATCTCCCAAAAACCAGAATAATGATTATTAGTTGCCTTAATTCCAAGCAGTGAAATAGCTCAAATCATATTTATTCCCACAAAAATGTACTTTTCCGGTGTATTTACTCTGGTAATTCATTTTACGAGCAGAAATCAATACTTTGCCCTTTGGGGGAAAAAATCTGGATATATTTGGGAAGATCCACTGTCCTGTAATAGATCCCATCAAAGAGCTGCTGCCACATTTCAGTGCTGATAGAACAGCTAAAATAATTTAATGGCTCAGGATGGGACAATTTCCATTAGATTTTCCCTCCATCCCAGTAAATTTCTATTAAATATATTTTATATATCTAATTCCTACTGCTCTAATCATGACTTTATTGTCCATTACTTAAATTTCTTACATTTTCCCATTTTATTTTGGTCCTATGAAAATAGAATCCATTCCAGCCAGTGAAGATAATTCCTTGTGGGAAACCTGTGGTTGGAAATGTTCCCATCTCAAATAATTCCATACTGGAGACTCACCAATTCCCAGTCTTTCCTTGCCATTCCAATTCCATTCCCATTTCCTGCACTGTTCCAGTATTTGACTCTGGGTTGAGCTGTTTGATCTCTGTCATTGTCAGCGCTTGGGAAGGGTGACAACAAAAGGCCTCATAATTTTGGATTTGCCAGATCCTGATATTCCCAATAATTCCTAGGAATTATTGGTGTGCTCTTCTGTGTCCTCATCTGTGCCCAGCTCTTGAGTCACCAACACTCAAAGCTGTGATCCCAGAGGGTCTCATTGGAAACTCTACATATTTAAGGATATTTTAGCTGTGCATCCTAAACAGCAGGAAAATAATGGATCTTCTCCAGCCTAAGGAAATCAGTCCATTGTCATCATTCCCAAAGAATTGCAAATGCCATCAGCAAAGCTTACTGCTCAGGGCAGAGAATCATGGAATTGTTTGGTTTGGAAGGGACCTCAAAGGTCATCCAGTCCCACATTTTCCAGTGTCCCAGGCTGCTCCAAGCCCTGTCCAACCTGACCTTGGACACTTCCAGGATTCCAGGTGCAGCCACAGCTTCTCTGGGAATTCCATCCAAGTCCTTCCCCACCCTCAGAGGGAATAATTCCTTCCCGATATCACATCCACTCCTGCCCTCTGGAAGTTCCTCAGAAAAAAGAAATTCTGGATTTTCAGTGTGTTGCCACAGGGCTGGAGAGAAACTCCCCAAGAACTTCTGTGCTGGTGCAGATCTGCTCTGCACCCCCGTGTTTAATTAAGCATTAAAGTCTTCATTAATATTATTTTCATCTGGGGACCTGGCTTTGTAAAAGGAAGAAATTTGTGGAATTTCCCTGCTGTGGGAATAAATGAGATATTGTACATAGAATTAACTTAGAAAGGATTTATAAAGGATTCAGCCAAATTTCCTGAAGCAGGACATAAATAAAAATATTTTTGAGACCTCTCATCAATACCGTGAAGCTTCACAGAGCTAAACCCACCCCAGAACTCCAAGAACTGCTCACAAATGTCTCCAACAGCCGAATATTCCCACAGAAACATCATCAGAAATGTCTTATCAGTGATTTTATCATCAACCAAGATCATTTCTGGATTGATTTTGCTGCTGTTAAACCACAACGACTCAAATTGGCATCAATAATCACATCAGTACCAACCTTCAATACACACAGCATAAAAAAAGAAGAAATTATTGGTGTTCTGCTCCCACCAGCAGAAAGGATCGAGAGGGTCCTTTTGTATCCCAGCAGTTAAAATCCCATGGGATAATATTTGTAAGTGATTTAAACTTGGATAATCACTAGGGATGTTTATGAACACAAATAAACACAAACTCAACAACGATTTCTCCATAAAAACCCATTTATATGACATATTCCACGTTAGGCAACAGCACTGTGAATTCCCTGCTCACATTTAGAGCTGAGATTATCCAAAGCCAATGGGAAGGATTGAAAACAACATTTTTTTCCATGTTCCCTTCATTCCAAGTGTTATCTGACAGCCACATCAGCGTTAATGTTTCTCCCCAACCCATCAAATATTTGATTTCTAATTAAGGCCTTTTCATCTCAGTTGGATTTGTCTCCCTCATCTTTAATTATGTTTCCATCCACGCTGCTCAAGAGCAAGGATTTGCATTCTTACATTATATAGAAACCACATTGTAAATATTTATCAGATGGTTCCCACTCTGCTGCTCATGGATTTGGGAATTCAGGCTCACAGGAAAGAGGGAATGTTCCCCGAATTAACACCCCACTGCTTGTTAGGATTTCCTTGCCTCCCACACATGGATTTTCCCTCTTCCTCAACTTCCCATCTCTCCTGCAGGTGCAAAACACACCTGGGAATGTCACAGACACCAGTGGGAAAAAAGGATTTTCCTGGGAGACTGAAGAACACACAAAGGCTGCAGATAGATTTTGTTCTATTTTAGCACCAAACCTTTATAAATCGCTGGGAAAGGTCCCAGCTTTGAAGCTGCCCCATGGGGCAGGAAAGACAAACAAAGTGGAGTTTGGGACAGAGGAGTTCAATCCTGCCTCTTTCCTCCACTGGATATTTCTGTGGCATCAACTGATGGAGAAAGGGTGGGGAAATAACCATTCCCGGTTGGAAAAGCAGCTTTTGTGTGGTTACACCTCTTAAAAAAAAACATTTCTTGGTAGCAAGTTGCCTATTGGAGCACTTGGCTCAAGCAAAAAAAATGGGAATTTTAAGGAATCAGTTCCTGCCATTCTCATGAGCATCCCAATGATTTTTAGGACAGGACGGGAGGTCAGGAGTGACAGGGTTGGGGTAAGATCCCCATTAAAGGGCAGCGAGCTGGGAGAGGAGCGGGAGAACCTGGCGCTGTCCGCGGTGCTGAGCGGGCCCGGCCCCGCCGCTGCCCGCGGTGCTGATCGGCCGAGCACCGCCAGCGCATCCCGGGTGGCTCCCGCTCCTCTCCCGGGCAGTCCAGCAGGGTGGGAGCTGGGCTAGCACATCCTCCTGGACATGGAGTTCTTCCCGAGACCCCCCCGGAATGCTGCGCCCAGATCTGGTGTCCCCACGGTAAGAAGGACATGGAACTGTTGGAGCAAGTCCAGAAGAGGCCATGATGTTGACAAGGGGACTGCTGATCTTCCCCCGTGGAGACAGGCTGGGAAAATCGTAATTTTTCAGCCTGGAGTCTTCTCCAAACAACTTGTGGAAGTTGTCTGCAGAGCTCAGAGCTCCTTCCAGAATCTGAACGGGGATACAAGGACAGAGGAGAGAGACTTCATTGGGAACTGGAGTGACAGAACAAGGGAATGGCTTCAAGCTGAAGGAATGGAAATTTAGAGGGGATAATGGGAAGGAATTGTTCCCTGGGCACAGGGTGGGCACCTCAGGGTGCCCAGAGCAGCTGTGGCTGCCCCTGGATCTCTGGAAATGTCCAAGGCCAGGTGGACATTTCCAGGGAATGGAAAAGGGGCTTGGAGCAGCCTGGGACAGCGGAAGGTGTCCCTGCCATGGCAGGGGTGGGATGAGCCTGAAGGTCCCTTTCAACCCAAACCATTCTGAGATTTTGGAGGAAAGGAAGCAGAAACCCATCTAGGAAGGGAAGTTTGGGGAAACTTCTACACAGTAACAAAATTTAAAACATTTTCAAGGAAGAACATTATTTCAAATCTGTTATACATCTGTCTTCTGATTTCCTTTTAGCAAGAATTAAGATGCAAAAGGAAAACAAAAGCAAGTGAAGACAATGCAGCTCCAGGCTGTGTGCTCCTCATCCCATAATCTGATCAGTGATCAATAACAGATATTTTCCAGTTAAAACAGTTAAAAACCTGTTTGTACTACACACACACACAAACCTTTCTTCGCTACAAAGCAGCAGCCAAAAAAGAATTCTCTGTTTCTCATCTCATCCCTCAAGCTCTGACATTCCACCCGTTCCATCAGCTCTCTCCATGGGGAAGGTCCGGGGGAACCCCGTGTTCTACCCACAAACACTCGGAGATGGAGCCATCACCTTCTCCCCACAAATACAGAACTCCCAGATGCCCTTACTGAACCCGCAGACATCCCAAAAGCGTCATTTTCCAAACGAGGTTCGTACTGGAGGAGCTCTGGAGCACCCGCGAGCGTCCCTGCACAGGGTACGAGGGACCTCTGGTGGAAGCAGATTCCAGTGGCAGATAAACATTTATATCCTCATCTATTCCTCTAATTAAAGGAACCAAACCCCTTTAATCCATGAAACATCAGTGTCTAACCCAATATTCCAGCCCACTTTATCCTCCTGCTCTCCAGCTCCCAACTAAATATAAAGCAGTGCCCTCAGGAATATTTTATTAAATTCTGTCAAGCACCGTGTTCCAAAATAAACCTGCTGGAACCAGCTTCGCTTTGGGCCTGGATCAACACCTGGATCAACACTGGAAAGTGTCAAATTATCCCCAAAATTCCAAGATCAGGGTTTTTATCATGGAAAAGCTGTTTGATCAGTGCCTTGGGCTTTACGAGATTAAAATCACTCCAACTTTGCAACTGAAGGTAGAATTAAATTTATTCAGCTTGCAGAACACCACTGACAATGATTCCCAGATTTTTGTAGGGATTCAGAAGACACCAAATGTTGTCCTGTGAGTGGCAACATCCACGGACAGTGAGGATCCAACCAACCTGTTCCCTCCTCAGAAGCACAAGACACTTCCTGCACCACACACCACACCAGAATTCCTGGAATTCCTGAATTATTCCATGCACTGCAGTCAGTAATTCCTTGTTCTTCCATCGCAAAGCTGAAGACAACATTTCCAGACTCTGTATTTATTTATTTATTGTCCTAAAAATCCCAATTCAGAGGCAGTCACAGAGCTGTTTGTATTCCAATAATGGGACCTGCATTTGGGGTTTATTTAGAGTCTCCTTAAAAAGAGAAATGCAGCCTCCAGCCATTGGTCGAGCCGGAATATTTATTCCAAAATCAATTTAATTTTAAACCCCTAAATCAACTTCTCCAAGTCTTTTTTAGCAAGTATAAAAATCAACCAAACAAAACCAAAAATCAGCCAAGAAAACACATTTCATTGTAGGAAAAGCACCACAGATTGAGGATTTTTTGGGAACACAATATCCTAAACACACAGGACACATGACCACTTGGAAACACCTTTTTTCCAGCAAGAACACCTCCAAAATCTGCTGGAATCCAGGTCTGATATCCACACTCACACATCCTGATGAGCCTACAAGAACAATCTCTGCCTGGAGGCCATTTGAGACACCCCAAAATCCCTTTTTAACCCATTATCAACATGGTGAACCCACATCTGAGATTCCACTTATCCCAAATCCCAGAAAAGAAGCCAGCAAAGGAAAAAGGAGGAATTCCAGCCGGACTCACGGGGGTGCTGCTGTCGGAGAAGGTGTTCATGCTGACAGACCTGCTCATCTTGCCCGAGGTCAATGACGTTGGCGACGTTGGGGACGTTGGGGACATTGTTGGTGACGTTGGTGACATTGGGGATGGGCTGTGCAGGTCCTGACGCTGCAGGTGCTCACGCCACGCTCGCTGGATGCTGAGGGAACAAAGGATTTCAGTCCAAATCCCTGGCTCAAAACATTGGGATTGGGGGGTTCCTGTGTTTAGTTTTCCTGGCTGGATGAAGATCACGTGGAGTTACCTCTGTAGGGTTTGTATAAGGCACCACTGGGATAATTTAGGGAATTTATTAAGGAGAGTCAGGGAATTCTGGAGTGGTTTGGGTTGGAAAGGATCTTAAAGTTCATCTGGTTCCAAACTCTTTCCACGTTCCTCAGGGTCCAACCCAACCCCAAAACTTATGGAAGTGATCTCAGTTGAGGCCATCCAGAAGTTGGAATCTCTCCTACATCCCATAATCAAAATAAGAATATCCATTTGTTCGTTTAAAGGAATTAACAACCTTCTACTTCCTATCCACATTTCAGATTATAATTCAGATACAACTGGAATTTGAGAGCCAGAGCAGTATCATAGAATTATGGAATCCCAGAATGGTTTAGGTTGGAAAATGTCATCTCATTCCATCCTCTGCCATGGGCAGGGACAATTTCCACTATCCCAAGTTGCTCCAAACCCCATCCAACCTGGCCTGGAACAATTCCAGCATGCACAACTTCTCTGCAGGATTAGCTCCTTGTGGGATTTTAAGAGCAATTGAGGGTTTATTCACTGGGATGACAAATATTTCCATTTCTATTTCTATTTCTATTTCTATTTCTATTTCTATTTCTATTTCTATTTCTATTTCTATTTCTATTTCTATTTCTATTTCTATTTCTTTCTATCTCTACTTCTACTTCTATTTCTATATATTTATATTTATATTTATATTTATATTTATATTTATATTTATATTTATATTTATATTTATATTTATATTTACATGTATTTCTGTTTTAAAGCAGGAGAATAGACTGAGTTTAAGCCATAATTACCCTCTTAGAAAGCTCCCTGAAAATGGATTCTTTTATCTGGCTTTTTTTTTACATGACCAAAAGCTTAAAAGACACTGGGTTTTAATTTGAAACTTCATGTCCTTTTAATATCTTAATTTGCATTAATATTTGAATAGGCTGGAAGTAAGGCAGTGTTTGCTGGATGGAGGAGATTCCTCCTCCAAGGCTGGAGGATTCATGCTGGGAGAGGCTCCAAAAGGAATCCTGGACTCTGATAAATATGTGGGCAAGTTTTAATTATTTAAAATCAAAACTTTTAGAATAACTGATCCCAGGAGAAACTCCATAGGATGTAATGTACAGCAAAAATTAAAATTATTCTAGAATTCCAAGGTTGATTTAGGATACGAGGAAGGATTTTTTTCCATGAGGTTGGCGAGGTGGGAGATGCCCCTTCCTTAAAACCACCCCAAGTCAGGCTGAGGAGCCCTAATTAAAGCTATCGCTGCTCAGGGCTGGAATAAAAGGTCTTTAAAGGTCCCTTCCAACCCGAACATTCCACGATTCGGTGGCATCTGGAAATTCGGGAGCTCATTCCCAAGATCATCTCATTCCCAGAGCCCCGGGATGCGCATCCCTCCCTTCCCGGCGGTGCACTAGGTGTCAGCGTGCGCCTTGGCTGAGTGCCGGCACTCCCTGCTTCCCGAGGAAATCCCGCTTTTCCCGAGCCTCGGGGCTGTGCTGCCCTGCTTCCCGAGGAAATCCCGATTTTCCCGAGCTTCGGGGCTGTGCTGCACACCCAGAGCAGGAATTCTGCACTTCCAGGGCTGCTTTTTCCAGGGCATCCCTAGAAAACTGATGGTAGATGGGAAATACGCCATGGAAAAGGCTCTGTGCTGTGCTTCCCTCCTCCGGCTTCTCTGCACTCATGGGAAAATCCAGCAGATTCCCAAATACTCTTTAGTTACACAGAGGAAATGACAGAATTAGTGCAACACTGATGTTTAACATTTGCAGCTCTGTTCAAGGGGACTCTGTGTGGTTCTGATTCATTCCAGGATGCTTTGGGTGGGAAGGGAACGTAAATCCCATCCCATTCCCACCCCAGCCATGGCAAGGACACCTCCCACTGTCCCAGGTGCTCCAGCCCCAATGTCCAGCCTGGCCTTGGGCACTGCCAGGGATCCAGGGCAGACACAGCTTCTCTGGGAATTCCATCCTGGCCCCTCCCAGCCAGGAATTTCTTCCCAATCTCCCATCCAGCCCTGCCCTCTGGCACTGGGAGCCATTCCCTGTGTCCTGTCCCTCCATCCCTTGTCCCCAGTCCCTCTCCAGCTCTCCTGGAGCCCCTTCAGGCTCTGCAAGGTCACAATTTGATCACCTTGGATCCTTCTCTTCTTTCCAAGTTGAACAATCCCAATTTTCTCAGCTCCACATGTTTAAACATAGAGAACTTCATTAATTTGCTAATTGGAAGCTGTTTTATGCAGTTACACAGAAATCCAGGATGGATCCAGTAGCTCAGGAATTGGACACCCTCAGCTGCATTCCAAGACAGACCCAACACTTTTCCTTACTCACATTTTCACTTTGGATTCCAAGGGCTGGAGGTCGATAGGATATTCCTGGATATTATTTTCTTCATCCATGGCGAGCTGGTGGCTATGGGAGAGGAAAGGAAATGAGTTTAACGTGTTCCCGCCTGACATTCCTGAAATCCTGTGAAAGAATTCCGGAATCTGGACAAGAACAAACAAGAGCTGCTGATCACAAGGTGTTGCTGTTTTTGAAGAAAGTTATCTGCGCTTTTGTGTCCAGCTCCCAACAAAAAAAATGGGAATTTGGATCCAGTTTTCCAGTGGGAACTTGCTTGAATCCCTGTTTTAAATCTCCCATCTGCCACAGCTCCAGGGACAGGCACAGCCAGCAAAGAGCTGCTGTAAATAATAAAAAAAACCCCACAATCCTGGCAAATCTAAGAGATATTCCTGCTAAATTAACTTCCATCCATCCCCACGGCCACGCTGGAAAAGCTGGAGAGGAAAATGGAAAGGAACAATGGGAATGCTGGCAGCAAATGACTTACAGCAGCAAAAGCCACGTGGGGGGTGAAGAGTAAATGCTTTGTAATAAATGATGGCTGAGGAATTGCTGCTGGGAAATGATGGCTTGAAGAAAGCAATTTGAAAATGCTGGAATATCCAAATCCAGCATCTGGGAACACTGCCTTGGATGGGAGCAGCAGCAGGGATTGAGTGGCAGCTCTTGGCTGGGAAATTTGGGAGATCAGACCCCAACCTGTGGAGTTGTTTGGAGACTTTACTGGGCTCTCAATGGTGGAGTTGTCAGAAATTGTCCTCCTGTAACTGAAGATAGGGATTGTCTATGGGAGAAAGGAGAAATTTGGGATATTGTCTGTGACAAAGAGGATCCCCCAGCAAAGGTTTCACACCTTGGAAAATCCATTTCACTTTCTCATGGGTGAGATATTTTGGAAAAGGCACATTTACCTTTGGAGCGAGTCTTTGCCATCGTTGCCCTGTTCCAGGGTGTGCTGGAGCCTCCTGAGTTCTTCCTGCGAGGACAGAGAGGAAAAAAATTCAATATTTTTATGGGAAGCCCTTGGAGATTCCCTCTCAGCCTCAAGACAAATGAAATTTTGAGTCAACCCCGAAACAAAACCAATCCCTCAAGTGCCACCTGTGAGATTTTAAACCTAGAAATCCATAATAATGATAAAGAAACCGATATTTTATTGATAATCCAGCACAAGATTGAAAGGAAATATCAGAGCTACAAAAATAATACACAGAGTAAAAGAGGGAAGTTTTCTTTCCCATCCTGGGTGTCTTTGGTTCCAGAGATGATCTTGGGAAAAGCACCAGCTCCTGCTTCCAGAATCTTTGTTCTGCAATCAAAACCTATTCAGGCTCTTAATCAAGAGATTTCCAGCCTGCACCAGTTCTTGTTCCAGCAGCAGAGGTGGCACCAGGGTAATGTGGCAGATGAGGAGCTGGGAATCCCCACATCCCTGGAAAAAAAACCATCCCTGGAGTTCAGCACAGAGGTTTGGCTTAAAAAATGGAATTTTTCGGAGGCACAGCTCAGTTCAGAGATAACCACACAACCTTTCCTTCTCCTGCATTTTCCCTCTGGCAGTTTTTCCAGCCTCCTCCAGAGCTGAGTACAGTAATTTAGAATGTGAAAACAATTTGCAGTTGACTTTATCCATAGCTCAGGGTGCCAAAAGCTGCCTGACTTCCATAAATCACTGCTGGTGTTTGACATCATTTTCTATTAACCCCGGGGTGAAGACTGAACACAGAGCAAAAAAGCAAAAGCCCAAATTGGTTGTGACGTTTTTGACTATTCTGAATTAAACATGGCTGGGCAGAGCCTCTAAAAGCTGGGATAAAAGCGGCTCTGGAAGGGGCACAGCGAAGTTTGCATAATTGGGAAGAGGAGGAGACAGGAAATCGATCCTAATTCTAGTTGGGCGTCATTAAGCGTGGAATATTGATCCGTGCTCCTGGCAGCGGGATTGATGGAGCTGCCCGTGGTGCTGAGCCCATGGAAAAGGGGTTGGAAAGGGGTTGGATGCTGCAGGGACACCGAGGGGACAGCGACACCCCCAGCTCCACATCCCACCCGGAGCGAGCCGCCTGCAATCTCCAGGGAATTGAATTGGAAGGGATCCACGCTCCGGTTGGAACCCAGGCTGAGTTACTGTGACTCTCATTGCCCGGATAAAACAAATGTGTTTTGAAACTTCCTGGGCTTTTCTTTTCCCTCCTTCAGCTGGATCCAGACGTGGACAGGGATTGGGCAGCCCCAGACATGGAGACACTGAGGGAAAAAAAATCCAGGGAAGCTTGAGGAGCACATTCAGAGCAACCTGAGGTGTCTTTCTTAGTCCTTAACGTGCTCATTCCACTTACCCATTAATTATTTTTCAGCCTGAGCATACCCAGCACCCTGGGGTTCGTTAATTTTATATTTTTTCATATTTTTTTTATTGCTTTAATTGCACGACACACTTGAGTCTGGATTACTTTGGAGAGGAGTATGAGGAGATTGGAACGCAGGAGGGGTGAATTCCAGCACGGCAGGGAGGGGGAGGCAGGGGGAAAGCTCACATGACAGATCCATTTCTGAATTCCCAGGGGAGGGATTTTCCCCAGAAAAAGCAGGAAGCTCTTTTTATAGCTCCTGAGCCTGATAATTTTAGTGACAACAACAGAGGAGTGTTTGAAAACCGAAAGGAAATCTATTAATCCAATTTTCAGCTTTTCAGCATGGGGGAATGTCTGTAATTCTCCCAAAAGAGGGATGAAGTTTGGGAATCAGATGTTCCTGTAAAAAATAACAATCCCGTCTATGAACAAATATTATTTCTACATTATTTTCTGCCTGGGATTTTAGGAGGAAACCTGGGGAGTCTGGGGGGGTGGAGGAGAATCAGTGGAGACCTTGTGGCTCTGCACAACTCCCTGACAGGAGGGGACAACCAGGTTGGGATTGGGATTGGGATTGGGATCTGCTCCCAGGGAACAGGAGGAGAGGGAACGGCCTCAGGCTGGGCCAGGGGAGGCTCAGGCTGGAATCAGCAGGAATTTTATCATGGAAGGGGCGGTCAGGCCTTGGAACTGCCCAGGGAGGTTTGGGGTCCCCATCCTTGGAGGTGTCCAAGGAACTCCTGGATGTGGCACTCAGGGACAAGGTGGGAATTGGGCACTGGTTGGATCCTGGAGGGATTTTGATGATCCCGGGATTCTGGGCATGTGCACAAACCACAGCACTGGAGAGAAGAAAATCCCTGCCAAGCTTTCCAGGTGAAGCGAGCACAGATGGAAGGAGGAGGCTCCAGAGCTGCTGAGGAGCGAAATCTCCGCTCTCAGACGCCGCCGATGGCTCCGAGGATGTTTTTAATTGCGGGCGGTTGCTCGGCAACCTCATCCCGTGTGCGGCAGTGCCGCTCTTCACCTGGAGCAGGGAAACACCGGGATGGCTCCTCACAAACACCGGGATGGCTCCTCACAAACACCGGGATGGCTCCTCACAAACACCGGGATGGCTCCTCAGGGACATCGGGATTGCTCCTCAGGGACAAACATTGGGATGGCTCCACACAAACACTGGGATGGCTCCTCAGGGACATCAGGATGGTTCCTCATGGACACCAGGGTGGCTCCTCCCAAACCTGAGCAGGGCCAGGGAACAGCAACAGCATCGAGCCACGAGTGCTCCTCCTCAAGTTGTGCCTCTGGTGCCCAGCAGCAGGAAAAGCCAAGGAAACTCAGCCGCAGGTGGAACTCATCTCTCCTCCTCCTCCTTCCCACCAAACCAGTCTGGAATTCCATGGCATGAGACTGCCCCAGTGCTCATGGGGTGAGAAGATGCTGCTCATGTTGGAGGCTGGTGGGGCATGGAACTCCAAGGAAGCCTTGGAACACACACTGGAGTTCATCCCAGTTCTGGCTCTGTTTTCCCAATCCTGGATCTGTTTTCCCAATCCTATTAACACAACCAAACCTAAGCAGGCTTCGAGTGGCAGCTGAAGCAGAAGGGTTTTGAACTGGGATCTTAAATCCCATCTCATTCCATCACCTGCCACGAGCAGAGACGCTTCCATGGCCTGGGATGCTCCTGTTGATCTGACACAGGGATTGGGATGCACAGAACCCTTAAAATCAACCCAGAGCTAAAATAACAAACATTTTCCCCTTGGAGGTCACACCGTGAAGTAAAAGCAGAACCACAGCACCGTTCCCAGGGTTTTTCACTCCTCAGTTATCCCATTCCCGTTCCCACAGCTGCCTCGTGTGCTGCGGGAAGCGCTGGGCGTGGAGCACAGAGCAGGTTCTGGATGTTTGACTGACAGAATCCCCCAGCATCCAGCAGGGCTTTGGGATAAAGGGCATCCCAGGAAAACCCGAAATGCAAACAAAAAAAAACCAGCACAGGAAGCCCTGAGATGGAAACGGGTCTCATTCAATCTGGGAAAGCAAAGAGCTCCACTTGGTATGAATAATTCACAAACAGCCTCAGACAAATGATCTCAGGTCTAGGAGGAAATGGGAAAACCTCTGGAGGCTGCAGCTCTTTTTATTCCTGCCTGGTTCCTGCTGAATGCTGTTTTCTCTGGGGTTATTTTTCACTCTTAAAAAAAAATAAATTAAATATATATATATGTATATCTAAACAGTTAGCCTGGATGTTCAGAGAACACAGCAGACCCCAGAGAAATCTTTTCATTTTATGTTCATCTCTGGCTGGTAAATAATTCATTAACAGGGATCACGCAATGGGGGGAAAATTAAAAATCGGCAAATTAGTTTTCATTTGTTGACGTTAATTATTTAGTGTTCTTCCCTTTTATTAGAGAAAACACAGAGGGGGATTAGTCTTGTTCTGGCACTCTGAGTTTGCTCCCCAGACAACTCCCAAATCAACATTGCTGTGTCTACTTCTGTGGAAAATCCATGGGAATGTGACTCCAGTGCTGAGATGCTGGGACAGAGCTGGATTTCTGAATTCCAAAGAAACCCTTGGATATTTTTCAACAACACTTCGGAAAAAAATAGGCAGGTGGGGCTTTATTTCCAGATATCACCCCAGCCATAGAATTTATGGAGATCCCATTAATTAATCTCCCTGAGCTCAGCCACAAACATCCAAAATTCCCACCAACCTCATTCCAATAAACAAATATCCCGATATTTAACGGGATATTTAACGGGCAGTGGAAATGGAATTGTCTCTGGAGCAATTTGCTTTGGATTTTGCAGCCTTGCTGCCCTGAAGAGCAAGAGGCAGGAGAAGTTAATCACAAATGCTGGAGGCAAACTAAAACTGAACTTTGCTTCCCAAATCTCCAGCTTTCCCTAATTCTGCTCCTCAGCTCACAGGAGCTGCCAGGAGAACTCGTTCAACATCACATCCAATTTTTCTTCCTTCTGATTTCAGTGGCTGCTCCATCCTGAAAAGCTGGAAAAGCTTTGATTCCTCCCTGCTTTTCTACCCAGGCAGCCACACAACTCCCAGCCTCAACACTGATTTTTTCTGGAATACTCTCCAAGTGAAACCTGCCACTCATTTATATAAATATGTATAAAATAATAATAATAATAAAATATTAGAACGCCACCTGGTTTTGTGGGAATCCCCATTATGACCAAAAGATAACAATTTAAAGTTTTTTAACAAGTTTCTGAGACATGGAACTGCTCTTGGTGCTGCTCAGCTGAGAGCAAATCATCCAGGGAAGTTTGATTCTTCAATTCCAGAGCCAAAATCCTGGTTTTCTGCAGCAGCTGGTCCTGCTCCATGGAATTTCTTTGCTGGGAAATGTGAAGGTGACCCCAGGACCTGCAGCATCCTCAGTTAATTCAGTCAGATGGGGTCAGCCTATAATGAACTGAGTGAAACAATATTGGCTTGATTGGGTTGTTAATTCTGCCCTCCCTGGCTGAGGATTTTTGTGCATCTTTACAGAGGGAAGAGACCTTTTCCCAGTCCCAGTTTCCTGCAAACACACATCCCTGGGAGGATTTCAAAGACACATCCACCAGGACAGGAAATTAAAGGTCTCAACTCCCAGACATCACAAGATCAGATCAAAAAGCAAATCAAATCCCAGAGCTCACAAACAAAACCTGGGATAATGAAAGGAGGCCCTGGCTATGGGAAGGGGGTGGAATTACATCGGCTTTGTTGCCCTTCCAGGACCTTGCTCCAAACTAAAGCAAAATGCTGCATAATTATTCAGAGTAAAAGGAGCCCCAAAAGTGATGAGAACCCCCCTTCCCTCAGTGTCTGCTCTCCCTGCAGTCTGTGCCAGGAAAGAGCCTCTGCACTGGGTTTCCAAGGCTAAAACTGAATTTGAATAAAGAGTAACGACAAAAGCCTTCCTTTGAAATGTCTCCATCCTCCCTCCATCCAAGGGGCAGAAAGGACAGAAACTCAATTCACCAGAGCTTTGAACTTTTCTGTCATCCAAAAGCAAGGCAGAGCCCTTGGGCTCCCCCATGGCAGCGTCTCACTGATTAAATCTCTTTTTTTCCAGCTGCTTTTAGAACACCTTTAATTTTCAAAGTTCACAATGACACCAAAGACCTTTCACAGCCAAGCCTGAGAATGAAACGTCCCATTTTTGCCAGGTTTAACGCTACAGGAATGTCAGGAACACCACTGAAACAACACACAAGCACTGCCAAGCTGCTCCGAGGTCACAGGAGTGAACTTTATCAACTGAAAAGCGGCAGAAAAGGTCAAACGGGCACAGGGAGTGCATCCCTGTGGATTCCGTGTGTGCATGGAGGGGTGAGGGGGAAGCTGGAAGGAAATGTTCTGGAAATGTTCTGTTGGAAATGCTGCTTTAATGCTGTGCAGCTGCAGCATTCACGGGAGGGATCTGTCACAATCTGCTTTAAAAAAAAATAGATACAAATGTTGGTGCTGGGTGTTCTCCTGCTGCCTTTGTCAGGGATTGCTGGGGCTGGTGAAGGTCAAATCACGGGAAAGGCTTTCCAGGGAGATCAGCTCTGGCTGTGGGAAGGAAAGGAAGGAAAGGGCAGGTGGGTGATGATGATTTCTGAGCCAGGAGAATCTCCTGGGGATGGTGCAGAGGTGCTTTGGCTTCCTGGGTGTTGGGCTGTGCTCCTGTCATGGGAGGGAATTCCAGCCCTCCCATTTCTGTGCTGGGCTTGCCAGTGGGACACGGAGCTGGGATGGGGGAATTTGAAGCACATGGTTCTCCATCCCATGTGAAACATTAAAACCACCATAAACCACGAGCCCAACATTTAGGGATTAATCCCAGGAATATCACCCTGCTCCCTGGTTCAGTGATCGCTTCCTTGTTGGAAAACCAAATTTATGGGCAGAAGAAACCAACAGAAAACATCAAAGCACCAGGACTGTGAAGCTGTGCCATCCCAATCCAAGGAACTCCTGAGAGCCAAACTCTCCTGCTGGAGAATCCCAGGATGGTTTGGGTTGGGAAGGATCTTAAAGCCCATCCAATTCCACCCAGCACACCTTCCCCTACCCCAGCATGCTCCAAGCCCTGTCCAGCCTGGCCTTGGAAACTTCCAGAGATCCAGGGGCAGCCCCAGCTTCTCTGGGAATTCCATCCCAGCCCCTCCCCACCCTCCCAGCCAGGAATTTCTTCCCAATATCCCATGGAAAGAGGAAAAGCACTCCCAGCTTAGCGATGAGGACGGTGAGCAAAAATAAACCAGCACTGAAGCGTTTCTTCCTTCATCACAGAAATAATTAGGAATACACAGGCCTATGTGATGCTTTTTAAACGGGATCTCGTGCTGCTTGTGGGAATACAATTCCATGGCAATCGTTTATCCTGGGAAGTCAGCTCAGTGGGGTTACAGCGTGCCAAGTTGAAATGGGAACCATTTGTTTTCTGTCTGCATTGCAGCACGAGCTGAAGGGGTTTTTATGGAGCATCCCTGACAGCCTCCAACTGTTATTTTTCCAAATTAACGCCGTGCCTATGGAGTTAATGGGAGTGCAGGCAGCGAGGGGTCTCTCCACAGCCCTGGCATCGTGCTCAGGATTCTTTGCAGGAGCAGAGAATAAAATGTGACAAAGCTTTCTGTAATTACTGCTCTGCCTTGCCGATGTCACCGAACCAACAAAGGACACGGCGCCGCCGCCGCTGCTCCCCCAGAATGAGGGCACAGAAAGGGCTCTGTGGACATGAGAAAGCCACGAGGTTTTCTGTTTGTGAGGGTGTGGAGAACCAAGGTCTGCCTTTCCAGGGACTTCCACAAGTCCTTGTCGCCACCAACAGCGGTTTCTGGAGAGGGCTCTGCAGAGTTTTACCTGAGAACATCCTGGGGGCACAAGGAAAGGCAATTCCTGCTCATAAAGGGAAGGGTTGCCCTGAAAATTGACCCTGCGAGGTGATGTGACCCCAAGGTGCACATTCCTCCTGCCACAGGAGCTCTGGCTTTGAGAGAGGAGGAGTCACACAAGTCTGTTCTGATGGAAAATATAAAATCCTGGAATATCCTCAGCTGGAAGGGACACAAGGGTTATCCAGTCCAGCCCTTGGCCCTGCACGGACACCCCAACAATCCCACCCTGCAGTGTTGTCCCACAGCTCCTGGAGCAGGTTTGGGAATGTGCCCATTCATTCCCTGGGGAGCCTGGGCAGTGGCCAGCACCTTCTGAGGGAAGAACCTTTCCCTGAGATCCAGCACTGGAGAGGCAGCAAATCCTGCATCCTTTAACCTCTCCAATTCCCATTGATTACAGAAATATTCTGTGGTGGATGCTCTGGATGTGCCACCCTTCCCTTGGGCTCCTCTTTTCCCTCCTAACCTGAATTTTATCCATCTTGACAAGGAATTCTTCCAGCTCCAAAGTAGCTTTAAACAATTATTTCATCCCTACTTTATTAATCTGGCTCCTATAGAACAGCGGCTTTGCCACTGGACTGGAGCAGGGGAACCAATTTTCTGGGAGCAGCTTGTTTTCATTCCATCAGCTCTCCCTTCCCAATGATCCCTCATCCCTTGCCTTGCCCCAACAGATTTTTGCATGCAGAACTTTTTCCAGATGGCAGGTTCAGTGCAGACAGCAATTTGCATAATTTAAATCTGCTTCCTGGCATAAATTATAGCACAACACACCACGGGCTTTGATTTCCAGCTCCTCACAGCCAGGCCCGGGCAGTGCCCAGGAATTGCAGCTGACTCTGGAAAAGCCTGGCTCAGCCACAGCATGGGGAAGAGCTGAAATCAGAAATATTTCCTCATGGAAATAATAATTCCCAGGGGAATGTGCTCCAAACAGCCCCATTCCACTGAACTCCAGCAGCTCAGCGGCTGCTCTGGGGTGAGGAGGTCAAGGAAAATTCCTGGTGACGAAATTGGATTTTCCCACCAGGACAAACACAACCTTGGGGGTGTTCCAAGAAGGTTGAAACGAATCCATGGTCAGTGAATCTCTTTTTCCTGACTTCCCAGTCCCCAGAAGCTGGGAGAGGGCCGGAGAGATGGAAGCACTCAGAGCAGAAATGTGCTGGCAAACATGGAATGCAAACGGATCCCTCTTCCAGAGAACCCCGCAACAGAAGCCTGAATCCTAAAATAATCCCACTCAAACACAGACATTCCCCACTCAAACACTGACATTCCCCACTCAAACACTGACATTGCCCAGTAAAACACAGACATTCCCCATTAAAACAGACAGGATTCTCCAGATCCTGCCTTGCTTCCATCCAGATCCTGCCTTGCTTCCATCACTTTGGTGGCACCGTGGGCCATTCCCACCCTGGGCTCGTGCACTGCCCTGAGCCTGGCCAAGACCAAACATCCCTTTGTCCATTTGGCACCTGGGAGAGACCCCAAACCCCACAATCCGCAGCCATCTGGGATTCTGGGAACAGCAGTGAACTCCAAAAGCTCTGTTTTTATCTGTTAGCACCCTGAGCAAGCCAACAGCTTCAAATGTTTTTGTGTCTTACATCTCAATGAATCCCTTTTAATTCCTGCACCCAGCGTTCGCAGCCTCCTCTCCCCGTTGGAGGAACGTTCATTTTGCCACTGGTTTGGGCTCCCCGAGCCCAAATGCCAGATGTTAAATTCCTTAATTCCTTAATTCTGTTGTTTGTGGGGCTGGGACAGTCTGAGGCCACCTCATCCCCAGGCAGGGAACTCCTCCATCCCCTCATGAAGTGACCATGAAATTCCACGCAATTAAGGCCGTATTTTCAATTAAAATTTGCCTTGGAATATTCACAGTGCAGTTCCTTCCCCCCAGCCTGCTGTGGATGTGTTTGCTCTGTCCTGATGGTGAATTCCCATCAACTTTCTGCCGGGGAAAAGCCCCAGAGGTTCCTCAGTGGGAATCACATCCATCACCCTCAGGACTCTGCTCCACTTTTAATTACAGCACTCAGGATCCTTCCTTCAAATCCTAAACCAGAGGAGAAAGGAGCTTTTCATTTGCACAACATCCATGAAATTCCCTGCTCCAGTGGCTTCCATTCCCTGCTGTTCTCTGGACTAAAGGAGAGATTCCCTCTCTTTCCCTTCTTCCATGGAAGATGGCTTTGCCCAAAGCCACCGTCACTTCAAAATCAGTTGTAAATGGATAATTCAGTTTGTTTTGCCTGGGATATATTGCAGTTTGAATACGGGTTTAATTTTAATTGTACCCAATTTGGGTCTTTATTTTTAGGTGTAGGCAGATCCCGTTTTTGTGAGAACTTTGGGATGAGGAGTTTGACACAAACCAGCTGCTGAAATGCTGACCTAAAATAATCCTGAGAGGAGCTTTTAGGCTGAGCTTAAACCCCACCAGCATTCCCAGATTCCTTTGGCATCTCTCCCTTTGTGAGTGGACATTTTCCATTAGGATTCCAATCAATGGCCACCACAACAACGTCGCTTTCCGATGGAAAATTCCCGTCAGGCACTGCTGGGAATCATCGGATTCCTCGGGGAGTGAAGGAAAGGGACAGGATAAAATCTTGGGATGTTTTCTGGACAGGGAAAACAAGACAGGAGATGATTTAAAATCACCCTGAAGTTCAGGCACCTGGAAAAACGGAACGCTCCACACTTCTCATTCAATTATCAGCACATAAAAACCACTTTAAATGCTTGATAATTGAAGGAATTTAAAGGATTAACAGGAAATTAATTAATAAAAGACCCTCGTCCGTGTCTTTCTGAAAGCAGCCTCTCCACATTGTTTTAAAAGGCACCAAGTTGAACATTCTCCAACTGCTTTTTAATAAATGTAAATAATATTCCAAAGCAGGGACGAAATGCCAGCAGTTGAGGGGTGGCTGAGCCATCCATGGCATGTAAATGAATTCCCTGCCTGGATATCAGGATGTGGATGTGCAGCCTTCAGGAATTAAATGAGCTCAACTTGCACAGCTTGAAAAGAGCTTCCCAGAGCTCCCAAAAATCCCTTTAATTATTTATGTGGGAAAAGCAGAGGAGCAGCAAGGGGAAAGAGTTGCAGGTGACACCAGGATTCAGTGAAACCTGACAGAAAATGCTGAATTTTGGTGAAATTGAGGGCAAATAAATTAATCATGAACAAGGGAAATGCAAAAAACACTGGGGGATGTAATTGGATTTACACACAAAGCTAATGGCAGCATTCGTGCAGCTGGGAGAGCAGATCCAGCTTCCTTCAGCAGGAATCATGGAATTATTGAAGGTGGGAAAGGCCTCAAGAGCATTCTGGAATCCAACAGAATGGGAAATCATCTCCCATTCCTGAGGGATGGCAGCTCTTTATTCCCAACAGCTCAGCCTGGATCACCCAGTGGGGTTCACTGGCCCAGTTCAGTGTCAGATTGGTCCTCAAATTCCCACTTTTCCACAGTTTTCCTGTTTCCACTCTGGAATCAGCTCTGTTTCCACTCCCTTGACATCCCTTTAAATGAGGGATCTGCCCAGTTCAGTCTCCAGATCTCACAGAGAGAGAGCTGAGAATTCCTTTTCCTTGTGGATATTTTCTATTTTTTCCTCAAAACCACTCTTGAACCCTTCAAAGGCTCTGACCTTGCTAAATGGAAATGTCCCCACATCAAGATCCTGCTGAAAACGTGGGATGAGCAGCCCAAACTCCAGTAAAACACCAGATTAAGATCCTTGTTTCAGGAGACATTTCCATGTTTTCTCTGGGTGATTTTACTCTCTGGAGTTCCATTCTGTATTTACACCCTGTAGTTACTCATCCCACCTGTTGTAGAGGAGTGAGTTGGAACTCAGGTCCCAGCCTGGAAATCTGGGATGACACATGGAAGTGTCCCATTTCTCCTGCCCACCTGAATCCAGGATGAGGCTCTCAGGTTTTCCAGCTGTAGAAAATATGGAATATTGGCTTTGCTGTGTTTTCCCAGCTGGAATCAGGACACTGAGAGCCACAGGTCTCTAAAAGCCCCCCTGAAACAGGAAAATTTCCCCCTCAGAGAGCTCATCCCAAGCAGTTTGTCATTGATTCCTGTGTTTTCTTTGGCATCCAGGGAAATTGCTGGAATTACAAACATTCCCTGGTGTTTGATCTCTTCCCTGTATTTCAGGTCTGTACAAGCTTCTGCACACAAAGCCAGGTTTTAGCCCTTGGGCACATAAAGAGTCTCCCTGGTTTTATTGGGATTCCAGGAACCCCCAAACTGCCAGAGCAGGAACCTGCAGGAGCCTCATGACAGAAAATCTGAGTTTTAAGAGATTTAAAGCAGGGAAAGGACTCCAATTCTGTCTGTGACTTGGAATTCTCAGGAAAAGCAGGGGACAAAAGTATTGGACACAATTCCAGAGGTTTGACAGGGCTGCATTGGGAACATGAAGTGAGTCCCAGCACCTACAGCTCAGGGAAATTCTTCTGGATTTATTTTAATTAAAAGACTCCTCTAGAGCTTCTCCAGCCTTTTGGGAAGCTGAAAAACTTGAACCAGCAAAGGCAATCCAAATAAATTCAGCTCCAGGTAAGGGAGATATTCCTAATGCAGCCTTTTTTACCCTGTGCACTTTAACAAATGAGTTTCCAGTGTTGGACAAGTTGTCCTGGAAAACAGAGAATCTTGGATTAATTCCAGCTTGGGAGAAATGAGAATTCAATATTTGCTGATTTTCAGCCACCCACTCTGAACTCAGAGCTGCAGAGGATCCATCAATCCCAAAGTGTTCAGCCTCCTCCTCCCGTGAGGAATGGGATGTGCAGGATGGATCCTCACCCGAGGGTCACCTCCCTGCCCTTGGAATTCCTGAGGAACATTCCCAAATCCCTGTGTTTCCTCCCATCTCTCTCTGTTCTATTTCCACCCTCTGGTGTTTATATCACTCCCATCCATCACATCCCCATGGGTAGCCTTGGAATGAGGTTTGGAAATCCTCGTGGGCTGTGTGTGCCCAGCGCAGAGGGGATGGAGTTTGGGATGGAAGGAACCACCCTATGGAAGCTGCTCCAGAGGGAATCTCCGCTCCAAGGTGCTGGGAAGGGATCCTGGATGCCCAATCCAGCCAGCCCTGCTACACCTGCCCCGGCAGGAACGCCAAAACCCCCGATCAATCCGGCCCCGAGGAATTATCCCAGTCCGCCAGAGCCCGGATTGGTCCCGCAGCATTCCCGGGATGACTTCATCGGGATCCAGCCCCGAGCCGGCAGCGCCGGGAGCTTTTCCATGTTGACAAACAGCTGAACTCTTGGAGCCCTGAATCGATCCAGCGGCAATTCCAGGAGCTGAAATCCCTGCGGAATTCCCAGGCTCAGAGCCTCGGGCTGTTCCCCCCGGGAAGCACAGCCACGTTTTTCCCCAGGAATTGCACAGTCAAAAGAATAAAAGGCTGTTTTGGTAAAAAGCAGGGTGAAATCCAGGGAAATTCTGCCCCAGCGGCTCAGAATCCCTGAGAATCCTCAGGCATCTTTTCCAAGCGCTGTTTGGAATTGTTATCACCCGGAGATGATTCCCCGCTTCCCGAGCACGGAGCCTTCCATTCCCTTCATAAACTTACACAGGTCAGGAATCCGCTCCAGCCTCCCCCGATCCCAAATTCCTTAAGGAATTCTGTCTGCGCATCCCACAGCGAGTCCCATCCGTGTCCCGGCGGGCATCCCACACCCCCCGCATCCCTTCCCTGGGTTATTCCCGGGGGAGGTTTGTTCACAATTCAATCCCTTACCAGCCGCATGGTGAAGTTTCCCAGGAAAAGGAGGCAGGAATGCGGCTCCTCCCGGCGCTGGCTCCCGTGGAATAGCAGGAATAGACGGGGAAGCTGCAAACCTTGGAGTTGAAAATCCTCAAAGAGAGAGGGGAAAATCCGGGAAGAGGCAGATGGGGAGCTCCCAGCCCGCAGGCAGAGAGATGAGAAACTTGTGGCACGGCTCCAGCGCAGGGATGGATCCGCTGGAATTCCCAGCCATGGGAATGAGCCAAACTTGCATTTACGGGAGGCTCTGATCCCTGCAAGGAGCGATTTCCAGGGAATCCAGCGGGGAGCGACGCTGGCTCCAAAAGGGAATGGCGGGGTGGGCGTGTGCAGCACACAGAAACACGGCAATCCCATAATCTCATTCCTATATCCTATGTTGTATATTCTATATTCTCATTTCTATATTCTGTACTCTATATTCTATATTCTATATTCTATATTCTATATTCTATATTCTATATTCTCATTTCTATATTCTATATTCTATATTCTCATTTCTATATTCTATATTCTCATTTCTATAGTCTATATTCTCTATTCTCATTTCTATATTCTATTTTCTATGTTGTATATTCTATATTCTCATTTCTATATTCTATATTCTCATTTCTATAGTCTATATTCTATATTCTCATTTATATATTCTATTTTCTATGCTGTGTATTCTATATTCTCATTTCCATATTCAGTATTCCATATTTTACTTTATATACTCTATTTTCTACCTTTTTTATCGATTATATATTGTATTTTCTACCGTTTTATATTTTATATTATGCATTATATACTATGTATTATATGATATCATATATGATGTATATAATATATCGTATATATTACATATATTACATATTACATATTACATATTATATGTTATGTTATCTATTATATGTTATATGTTATATATATATATATTATCTTATATTTTATATTATATATTATACCTTTTATATTATTTTATATGTTATATTTATAAACCCAGGTGCCAGCACAAACTCCAAAGAGCTCATTCCATCACCTCCTCGATGGGAATTTTATCATACACAATTCCAATCCCAATTCTGCATCCCAGTGGCTTCACTGGGGTTTATGATGCTCTTCAGGCACATCAACAAATTATTTTGGGTTTTTTCCCTAACATTGCCAAAAATCCATTTTCCAGGGGTAATTCCAAGGATTTCAAGCACGTGGTAAAGTGTCAGTGCTCTAAGCCTAATGAAATGAAAATAAATCATTTTCCTAATGAAAGGAAAATAAATAATTATCCAAAATAGTCATAATTTCCCATTTTTCTTAGGCCAAAAGACTCTGGAAGGCTCAGACCAACAACCCTTGGTGCTCCAAACTCCAGTTTTCCATGGATGATTTGGTCTCCTGAGCTCCAGCCCCTCTTCCTCACCTCTCCCTGCAGGAAAACCCTCTCAGCCCTTCCCAGGAGCCGGGGTTGTCCTTCCCTGTGCTCCCAGGAGCTGATCCCAGGATCCCAGGATTTGATGGATGGCCTTGGGCAGATGGAACAGGAGAGGAGAGCGGGAAGGACACACAGAGCTCTGGCTGGGAAAGCAGGATCTGGGCATGTTCCTGTTCCAGTTCCCACTGGAATAATGAGAATAATTAGCACTGGAATAATAATCTGGAATAATGAGCACTTCCTGCCCAACCAACGGCTTTTAAAGCAATCAAAATCCAGGAGCTCCTGCGTCCCCAGAGCTGCCTGGGAACCCTCCTGGGAACCCAGGAATTAAATCAGGAATGAAATCCACGAAGCTAAAGGGATCATTTTCCTCTCTGATCAGTGGGATCTGAGACTGTGAGGAGATCTCGGAGCTGCACTAAATACCCAGCCAGCCCCCACATTCCCTCCATGGAATTGCAGCAGCCCAGGATGGTTTCATCAGAATTTTTCTGGAGGATCAATTCCCATCTGCTGGACTTGACCACGGATTTGCTGTGATCTGGAACGGGACGCTCCAGCCAACCCCCACGTCCATCCATGGAATTTCAGAAGGGCTGGGATGGTTTAACCAGATTTTTCCAGAAATTCCCATCTCCTGGATTTAACCAAGGATTTGTTGTGTTTTAGGAGCTGTGGGGATTTGGCTCTCAGTGCTTGGTCAGGGGTGGGGTGGGGTGATCCAGACAGAGCAGGGAGGTCCCTCTGGAGCAGGGAGATCCCTGTGGAGCAAGGTGATCCATCTGGAACAGGACAAGCACTCTGGAATGGGATGATCCCTCCAGAGCAGGATGGTCCATCTGGATCAGAACAATCCCTCTGGAGCAGGATGGTCCCTCTGGAACAGGATGATCCCTGTGGAGCAGGACAATCCCTCTGGAGCAGGATGGTCCCTCTGGAGCAGGACAATCCCTGTGGAGCAGGACAATCCCTCTGGAGCAGGATGGTCCCTCTGGAACAGGACAATCCCTGTGGAGCAGGATGATCCATGTGGAGCAGGACAATCCCTGTGGAGCAGGACAATCCCTCTGGAGCAGGACAATCCCTCTGGAGCAGGACAGTCCCTCTGGAACAGGATGGTCCCTTTGGAGCAGGACAATCCCTCTGGAGCAGGATGGTCCCTCTTCCCTCTGGAGCAGGATGGTCCCTCTGGAGCAAGGTGATCCATGTGGAACAGGGAGCTCCATCCAGCCCATGATGCTGCTGAACATTCCCAGCTCCCAGACACATCCCAGCCCTGTTCTCCAGGGCACAGCTCCTCCTGAGCCCCAGCCAGGCCCCGTCTGTCCCCTGTCAAAGCAGCAGCGTTGGTTTTAGGCCAGTCCTTGTGTGTCCTCAGGCCAGGCCTAAGCTCCTCGTGCTCCATCAGGATGTGCTGGGGGCGTTGTGCCACCCACCCTCACCAAACCAAGCCCAAGAGTTGAGTTATTCGAGGCTTGTGACTAAAACTGGGCCTAGCAAGGGGTCTGCCACTAAAACCTGCTTTCCTGACTAAACCCACGATAAAACTGGCCCTATAAACAATGAATCATTCATGGATTTGCAGCTCCACGCTCCTGGAATGCCAATGGGAAGGAAGAGCCGAGCTGGCTCCCTCTGCTCCAATCTGCCCTCCCTGGGGAGCTCATTAGTGTGGAAACACCTGCTGGAGATTCCCATCAATCTCAGGCTGCCTCTCTTGGGGATCCCCACTCCTGGAGGGCTCCCACGGCCTCCCCAAATTTCAAGGAACAGATTCCCAGATATTTAAGAATGAAATGATTGAACTGCCTCGGTCAAATTTTGGACTAAGCTGGAGCTGGCTCATCCCGCCCACGCTGGGTCGCTTTCAGATGGATTTATCCAAGAGAAAATGAAATCCTGGATGTGGCTCCTGCTGGGGGATCTGTAGGAACCTCAAATTCCTTGTAAAATGAAGTCTAAAATGCAGATTTCCAGTAGCCATGAAGATGGGAAAACATCATTCCTGCTCTCAAAAAGGGGAAGAAGGGAAAATGCAGGGAGCTGCGGACCAGGGAGCCTCAGCTGTGTGTGCAGGTGGGATTTACATGGGAAACTGGGAAGGAATTCCTGGCTGGGAGGGTGGGCACAGATTCCCAGAGCAGCTGGGGCTGCCCCTGGATCCCTGGAAGTGCCCAAGGCCAGGGGTGCAATGGGATGGGATTTTAGTTCCTTCCATCCAAACTATTCTGTGACTCTGTGATAAGATGGGGATCCCATCTCCAATTTTCCATGGGATTGAGGGGTGGTGGGTCCATAGAAACCTCACCTTTCCTGATAGGACACGATGGGCCCAGGCAGCAGAAACCCCATCCCAACATTCCCAGAGCTCACCACTTCCAGGCCTCGGATTCCTGGTCTGGATGAAAACGGGAATTCTCCATTTTCTGCACCAGATAAAAGCATTTGTGCATTGGAATAAAAACCTTATTAATTATTATTTTAATAATTTAAAACCACCAATTTACTTTCAAACTATACCATTTCAAGAATTCTAAATGATTCAATTATTTTAAAATAAAACCACGTGGAAACACTTGGAAAAAATACCGGATTTTTAAAATAAAACCACGTGGAAACACTTGGAAAAAATACCGGATTTATCCTTGGAAACACCTGGAGATGGCTTTGGATGCATCCTGGGCACTTCATTTTGGTGCTGGGAAATTCCCCCTTCAGTCCTACCTTATAGGTAATGGTGATAGGTTAATGGATAAAACCCAATATCCCAAAAAAGAACTTTTTCCGCTGCAAATTCCCTGGAATTCACTGAAAATGGCTTTGCCTGAGGTTTGCTGCAAATTCCCTGGAATTCACTGAAAATGGCTTTGCCTGAGGTTTGCTCCATGTGGGAGCTGGGCCTGAGGGATGTGCATGGAAAGATTTCCAATGCAAAGTAAGGAATGACTGATCCAAGTGGGATCTGCAGCATTTGGGGGCTTTAATGAGTTGTTGGAGAAAATTAATTTCCATGTGTAATTTATTCAGAAACTACGAGGAAATCTGGGAATTTAATTAATCACATCATAAAAATAAAAGGGGGATGGGATAGAACTGTAAGTAAATATTTCTTAATTATTCTAATTCCATGGCTAATTTAGAGGCATTTCCCTGGATACAGGTCCTGGTCCAGGCTGGGAAATATTTGTTGGTCCAAGCAAAAATTCCACAGTTTTTGAAATAAATGATGGATTTTCAATGCCTCTGTTCTAAACCCCAAAAATTTAAGGCACAATCTCCCCTCCCCATCCCGAGCAGAGCTGTGGGATGCAGAGCACACATTTCCTAGGAAAAGCAGCAGGAATTATGCAGATCCCATTCATTTCTCCTTAAATTGGATGCTGTCATTCCCTCCCCTTTATTATCCCTGATTAATTGCCCTGCCCAACACCTCTTGTGTCTGTTCATCCCCTTCCCCATTTTATTGTGGATTTTGCTCTGTTTAAATCTTCCCTGAGCAAGAACCAACAGCTCTTGGAGTGAATTATGGATTTTAGGTCCTCAAATCTCTCCAAAATGTTTCTTTGGAGTGTCCTTGTGCTGTGCAAGATGAGTGGAACTCTTGGAAAATCCGTTTTTCTTCCCAGGGAGCTGCCCTTGCTCCCTTAAAACCCAATCCTGACTTCCACAGAGCTTAAATCAAATCCAGGCATTGAGAATCCATCAGCCTGAATGAATGGGAAAATTCCCAAATCCCATCCTGCTTCCTATGGACAGGACTTGTTTATCATGATTCATTCATAAAATATTTGGGAATTTTGGTGCTGTTGAGAGAAAAATTTCTGGAAAAAACAGAGTGTATCCATTGGCTCTGGTGCTTTAGGAAAACCAGTTTTGAGCCAGAATTCATCTAGAAAAATTAATCATTGTATTTAAATATGAAATCTTTATGTTGGCCAGCAAATAGTAAAAAAATGTCAGTTTTTATTTATTCCTGCTCAGCTCTCAGGATGCAAATCCAGCGGGAAAAGCTCTTCCCATTGTCCAGGAATGGCATTCCTGCTGTTCCTCATGGGCTTGCTCCAGTTAATTATGGGCTTTAATTAGTCATGAGTGCTGCCAGGGGAATAAGATAAATGGTCTCTCCTGATTTATAACATTCCAGAGATTGCATCGGTCCAAACAAAGGAAAATTGGGAATTATCACTGATGGATGAGCCTGGCTGGGATCTGGGGGAATTCCTCCAGAAAACACCTTGGAACTGGAGCTCTGCTGGTGGATTCAGGGCATGGAAACCCCCCAAAAAAGGCAATTTTCCTGCATTCCTGAAGGCCTTGTGCTGGCAGAGCTGGGATCCTGTGGGTCCCTTCCAGCTGGGGATATTCCATAATTCCAGGATCCTCGGAGCAGTTGGACCCCAAAGCCCCGATAAAGCCCCAGCCCCCCACCTTTATTCTGAAATGTCGATTTTTGCCTTCCCAACCTCCACAAAAATCAAATTTTGGGCTGCCAGGAGCCTCCAGGGCTGCTCCAAACCCACATCCCCAGCAGTTAAACCCCGCTTGGAATGAACCATCGGCACATTATCCATGGAATTCCTGACTCCACTCTTCCCAGGGAGGAACCTGCCCTTTCCTGGTGCAAACACCGCCCCAGGATGGAATCCTGGCTGATTTTGGAGGATTACATTGTTATTTTCATTCTGAGATCTGCGTTCTCCTTCCCCCAGCATCCCAAAGCTGGATTATGGAGACCAAACCAGAGATGGAATCTGATTTTAGGGGCACCAAAAACCCCCCAAAAGCCAAGGACAGGGAACAAAAATCCCGTGACAAAAAGCAGGAATAATTTACTTTGGGAATTTTTAGACCATGGACATCAAACCAGAGGTAACCTGTGGCTGTAGAAAATATTGCCAGGATTTCCATGGAAGGTTTATTTCAAAATAGACATTTTATTCTGCTCAGAACAAGCATTAAAACAGGGCTGCTAAATAACAGATTAATTCCTATATCAAAGGACATTTGGGTGGCTTCTTCAGATAATATAATATAATATAATATAATATAATATAATATAATATAATATAATATAATATAATATAATATAATATAATATAATATAATATAATATAATATTTATATAAACCATCTAAATTATATTTTAATTTAAATGAGGTGCTGCTCTGCTTTGGTGCTGCATTTTTGGTACAAAAATAATGTTAAATAACAAATTAATTCCTGTAGCAAAGGACATTTGGGTGCCTTTTTATGTTTTTTATATTTTTATTTAAACGAGGTGATGCTTTCTTTTAGTGCTGCATTTTTGGTACAAAAGAGACCTTAAATAACAAATCTATTCCAATATCAAAGGACATTTGGGTGGCTTTTTCTGTCCTTTATATTTTAATTTAAATTAAGTGCTGCTCTCTTTTCGGTGCTGCATTTTTGGTATTAAAAAAAGATGTTAAATAACAAATTAATTCCTGTATCAAAGGACATTTAGGTGCTTTTTCCTGACCTTTATATTTGAATTTAAACGAGGTGCTGCACTTTTGGTGCTGCCATTTCCTCCCTGCCCAGGGGAATCAGATCCCACCTGTGCCCCCCAGCTCTGCTTAGGAACAGCTGGGGAAAATTACATTTCACCATTTTTTCAATTTTTTAAAAAAAATTTCTTCCTCCCAGGAACTTTTCCTGCCCTTTGCAGCCTCGGGATGGGAAGGAGGTGCCGAGGAGGGAAAAGGTGCGGTTGGGATGGGGAGTTTGTAGCTGTTGTGGGATTTTGTAGCTGTTGTAGGATTTTATTTGGGGTTGGGGGCGTTCCTAGGGCAGGGCAGAGATCTGGGGGCTTGGCCGGGTTTGGGGGGTGGT